AATCGAAAAATCGAAAAATCGAAAAATCGAAAAATCGAAAAATCGAAAAATCGAAAAATCGAAAAATCGAAAAATCGAAAAATCGAAAAATCGAAAAATCGAAAAATCGAAAAATCGAAAAATCGAAAAATCGAAAAATCGAAAAATCGAAAAATTGAAAAATCGAAAAATCGAAAAATCAAAAAATCAAAAATCGAAAATTCGAAAAATCGAAAAATCGAAAAATCGAAAAATCGAAAAATCGAAAAATCAAAAAATCGAAAAATTGAAAAATCGAAAAATCGAAAAATCGAAAAATCGAAAAATCGAAAAATCGAAAAATCGAAAAATCGAAAAATCAAAAAATCGAAAAATCGAAAAATCGAAAAATTGAAAAATTAAAAAATTGAAAAATTGAAAAATCGATAAATCAAAAAATCGAAAAATCGAAAAATCCAAAAATCGAAAAAGAAATTCCGTAACGAAAATAAACCTAACACCCCACACTCCGACCGGCACAGCGGTGCGGCGTTGAAAGCCTAGCATCGTCTAACTGATTCTATCTCTTTTAGACACAATTTCGGAAAAACTAAATTTGAATAAATGAATAATGATCCACAAGAATCCACAACAAAATATGGGACCACCATTGACGCGGTATTTTCCAGATATTTAGAGGATATCAAGTCTCAAACTTATGTTTCTTATTTCAGTTACTATAAACGTATAGTTTTAATGATAAAAATTCCAGAATAACCTACATGTATTGTAAGATAATAAAAATATTTTAAACAATAATAACTTCTCATTTATTCAATAAAAGAAAAAAATTGTTTTCTCATCGGTCACCACGCTCAAAAAGTGTAACTTGAATTAATATTAAAGAAAGAATTTGAATATCAAGAAAAAAAATACTGCATAAATAAAATAAATAAATAATTATAATTGCATAATTTGATAAAAGATGCTATGCAATAGCTTTACTGCGACAGTTCCTGAGTGCCACATGTATTTTTTTAATAAATAATTCTTATTCTGTTCACAGATTTTTATTTTCCTAAATATTCCTAAACATTAAATGTCTGCAAAACGGGACATTGGATAACCTTCCTGCTCACTCAGTACATTTATTGATCCTTCATAATAAAGATTATGTCAAAGTATATTTATATTTTAAAGTGATATTTTACTAGACCAAGGTCAAACGCATGAACTATACGGGGCGCATTTGTCCCGTACCGCCCAAACCAAAGATCAACGGCGGGATATATAGACCCCGTAACGCCCCCAACAAAGTTTTAAATATAGGCTTCCGCAGCGAAGGTGTAAACTGTTAATGTATTTTTTTAAATCTTTTAAGACCATCTCACATACTTCAGTTAAGTATATTTCACCAATATTGTAACCGGAATTTTGATAAACAACAGACAGCACAAAATAGATTTTTTTGTTGCCTGTAAAATTGAGTTTGCGAATTTCCCTTACTAGTGTCTAAAACAGTTCTTAAAATAGACTCCATATTAACTGCATTGCGTTTTAAGCATTAAAAATTAGTAGGGTTTACGGCTGGAAGAAATCACCAAGAAAAGTAACAAGCGCAGGTCAATGGGTGCTTTTAATACCAAGTTTTCGCTAATTGGTTAATGATTTAGTCTACTCTTTTAATCCATTATTATAAACTCACTTATTGCGCAAACTACTATATGTTTCAAAATTTATTATGTGATACAGAATTATATTAAATTTCCTAGTGTTAAATTGTAAAATTATAGAAGCAATAACCGATCATTATTTCCAGCTAGTGATCAATGCGTCCGGAATTTAATTTCGCAGGAATTTCCTCAAGTACTTTAAAACTACATTTTCTTTTTTCTGCTCTTTAATATTCGATGTAAAGCTAAATTAGTTATTGACTCGGAAATATTCTCGATTTACTCGTAAATCCAAGACTAGTTCGGGAACATTCCCGAGACGAATTCCGAAAGAGCAATAACTCAATTGGAAACACTCTTATATATTCGAAATATCATCAGAAATGTAAGAGAAAAGCGTTTGGAAAACTTTACGATTGCTTTTGATATTTCTTTAGAGAGTAATTCTGGTTTTATGTGTTTTGCTGAATGTAAAATATGGCTTAATGTTGTATTCCTGGAATTTTTCCATTCAGGTACGGAAGGCGCGTTGCCTTCAACAAAAAACTCCCCATAGAAATCAACAGAGTGCAAGGTTTATTGGAACTCGTCCTGTAGACCTGTGGAGTTTAATAAAAATGTCGAATAAAATAAGATTTTAAGAGCGTAAAAATGCTTTTTGTACACTTTGTAAGCCCGTGAGAAGTTTTTACAAACAGTATTTATAATCGCAATATTTTTTATCGGGTTTTTTAATTTATTCATGGACACTTGTTGTATGTCAGAAAGACATTCTACATTCTACTATCTACATAAATGATTAATTAGATATTAATACAACATTTATTAAATCTCTTTACCTGTTTATATTTTTTTTGTGATATAATCCTGGTAATGATAATACTTTATGGTAATTTAAGGTTTATTCCCAATTAGATGTTATGATTAGTTTGCAATTAGTACTTGAACTGACCTAAGCGCTTATTATACATGAACTACATTACAAATTAGTAAAAAGTTTTGTTCTCTTATAATGGAAATTGTCATGAATGACATTAGAGGTTGGGTAAATTATCTGCTAGATATAGCCCCCGAAACACCAAATATTTTTAATATCAATAGAATTTATAAAAATATTTATTATACATAATTATAAAAGACCTACCTAAATGGTTTTCGTTTTTTTTCTGGGCTCTCCATACATTACAAAAAACTCGTCTTCTTCGTAATCACTCGAATCACTACTTGACGGAATACTGTCTTCGTCGCTCATTTTTATAAAAATATCAACAATAACAATAATAATTATCTCTACACGAGTATAATTAGTCGCCAAATTATCAAAAAAAAGTTGGGTTAAGTTTAGCGAATGTAGATGGATATCGTTTTGACATGCGTTAACTTTTCGTACATTCTTTTTAGCAAAAACTGTTTTGATCATCCGCAAACTAATTAATGTACTAGTTTGTGTTTATTGGGAACAGCCAACCCATCGTGCATGTACTATTCTACAAGTGATTGGAAACACTTTTATGCTATTGCGCAATTGCAAACTATTCTCATACAATCCAAACTGCGATTGGGAACAAACCTTTTATTAATAACAACCAAATTTATATGGAATCATCTATTATTTTTAATAATTTTTGAGATATATGAACATTTTTTATTTATGAATAAAACTCTGTCCTTACCAAAGACTTTTAATGACAAATAACCCACATAGCGATAAAAATAAATAATTAGTTAACAAAATAAACACAATGGTATTTTGTGGTTTCTGAAACGAAATGAGATTTAAATTTTTAATAGCCGAAAAGCAAAAACAGAAAGAAAATTGGTAATTTTAACAATCCGTGTTATCACCTCTAAACCTTATGCAAGCTTCTATTCGCCTTGGCATGCTTTTAATTAAACTGTCAACATTGTCTTGGAGTATGTTTTTCCATTCTTTTCCATGCTGCATCAATAATCTGTGCGACATTTCCTGCATTGTTTTGACGACCTCTAATCCTTCTTCTGAGCGGGTCCCACAAGTGCTCAAAAGGATTTAGGTCCGGTGAACATACAGGCCAGTCTAAAACTATGACACCTTCTGTTTTAAGATATTCTGTAGCTACTTGGCTGGTATGGGGAGGTGCATTATCGTGCATAAAGATAAAATTATCCCCAATTATAGCTCTTCAAATCCTTACGATTGGTTATAGCATTAAATCAACATATCTCGGACCGGTCAAAGTTTGTTGAAGTGGTAACAATGGAGTTTTTGCTTCCAGCATAATACCTGCCCAAAACATTACAATTCCTCTTTGATATCTTAGGATATATCTGGCAGCGTGGAGTTTCACTCATTTTCCTGGAGCTCTGAGAACCCGAATTCGATGGTCATCTGATCTTAGGCCAATTCTGGTCTCATCCAAAAAAAAAGAACATTTTGTCAATTCTCAATTGTTCAGTTTTGGTGTTGGCGGCTCCAATTTAGCCAATCAATTTTATTTTGCCTAGATAACGGTGAGACCTGTAACTCTTTCCTACTGTACACACCCCGTGCGCGAAGTCTTTTTCTTAGAGTTTCAATTGATACGTTCACACCTGTAGCTTCCAGAAGTTATCATTGTAGCTCGAGATGAGAAACCCTGGGATGTCGTCAAGTAAATTGACATACAAAGCGATCCTGTTGTGACTCTTTGACTATTTTGTATGGGCCTGTTCTTGAGAGTTTCCAGTCCCAAGTACGTTTTATATGTTTTCGACACCCTGGGTATCGCTTACTACCTTAGGTACGTCTCATTGGGGCATTTCTTGTTCAATGAGAGCAATAATTTTCACCCCTCTGCATTAGGGTGGAGCGTCGCTATAAGGCAATTTTATTTTCTAAAAATTCAAAACGCCTGTACGCAGAAAAGTTGCGTTTAAGTAATCTAATTATACTGTATCTTTTTTTAATAGGTTTTTTTACCCCTTTTACCCCCCCCCCCCCCCAAAAGGTTTAAAAAGTAATTTTAATTTTTTTACAAATAATGAAACGCCTGTCCTTGAGAAAAAAAAGTTGTAAATTTTTTATATTTTTTTCAGTAACCAGATCCACCTCCCCAACCCCCTTTAAAATATTTAGCTTTCCATTTGCATTTAATAAGTCACATAAATTCCGTCTATATGCAGAAACGTTGATTGATAGGGAGCGTGACCGTATTCCACGATATATAATTCACTGCACCTGCGTAATTACGCAGGCAGATGTTTGGGAGCGATGGTCCGGCTAGACACTTGTGTCTGTTTGGAATCACAAGTCCAGTCTTGTCTTAAACACGGCACGCAAATTATAAATCTTGTGTTTTTTATCTAGTTCGCTGATTGTTTGTAATAGTATTTAAACAGATTTAAGTTAAAATGTCCCTAAAAACTAGAAGTGAAGTTAATTGCCCAATTTTTGGAGCTCCGAAAGAAATAAGAAAAGTTAGGTTGCCCACATTTCATGATGTCATTCAGGGTTTCTTGTTTACAAGAAATTATCTGGAAGGTATTTCAGTGAATAGAAATCGGTTAGTGGTAGAGGCAGCAGACATTATCGCTAAAAAGATTGAATCTATATGGAAAAAGGCTGGTATTCCTACAGTAAGTCATCAAAGAATTGTTGAAATTATTAAAAAGTATCAGCTGATACGTCAAAATTTACTAAAACCATATAAAGAGAGAAAACATATTGCCACTTACAAGCTAAAACTGGACGCCTTTAAGGCAGATAGACAACGTTGTCGACAAAAAAGATTTAATTTTACAGAGAAAAAAATATAAAAGAATACCCAACTATAATAATAAGTAGTTTTAACTTAGTTTAAGTGTTAATACCTCCATTGAGAAAAGTAATGTTACATCTAAATATAAAGAAAAGAATGTGACTCCAAAATTTTTAGAAAATGAACTTGATGTAAGTCGACCGAGTACATCAGCAATATCCGAAGTACGTCTTCGAAATTTAAAAACTCTTCCGGTGTTAGCAAAAACCCTAGATCGCTACGGTGTATCAGATAGAGCAGGGGCAGCAATAGCGTCAGCTGTATTATAAGATTACGGTGTTATTAAAAATGAAGACAATCAAAATGTTATTGATCGCCACAAAGTAAAAAGAGCTCGTGTCGTGACAATCAACGATAAAAGCTTCAAAAGTTACAGAGCGATGCGATAGTTTTAAAAGGTCTTTATTTTGATGGTAGAAAGGATAAGACCCTGACAAAAGAAAACGAACTAGCACTGAGGAACATATAGTCTTACTAGAAGAACCTGTTTCTATTTATCTTGAGCACTTTTCTCCTGTCAGTGGATCTGCACAAAATATTGTGAAAAGTATGCTGGAGTTTTTTCATTTGTCATCTATTTAGACTGATCTTTTGCAAGTTATAGGTTGCGACGGTACTAATTTAAATACGGGACATAAAGGTGGAGTCATAACATTATTGGAACATCGAGTTAAAAGACCATTGCAATGGTTTATATGCGAGCTTCATGCTAACGAATTACCGTTACGCCACTTAGTTCAACATTTAGATGGTAATACATCTGGTCCTCGTGATTTTCAAGGATCCATTGGACGAGCTCTAAATGAGTGTGAGAAGCTTTCCATAGCTAAGTGTCAAGTTATTGGCAGTACACTTCCCAATATTTCCTTTGATGATTTGGGAACCGATCAAAAATATTTATTTGACATTTTCCAGGCAATTATAAATGGCACATGTTCTGAAAGTCTATCTAAACGTAATCCAGGAATGCTTAATCACTCTCGTTGGTTGACAACGGCAAATATAATTCTTCTCTTATATGTTGCCAGTGAAAATTCCTCAGAAGAATTACTAATACTAGCTACATTTGTTATGAAGGTTTACGCTCCGATGTGGTTTGTAATAAAGTAAAACCTTCGTGCGTTTACGGGGCATGGGAATCATGTATTTGAAACTATTAGGTTATGCAAATATTTACCAAATGAATTAAAAACTGTTGTCTATCCTGTGATTCAAAGGAATGGATATTTTGGCCATCCTGAAAATATTCTAATAGGCATGTTATTGGACAAAAACAGTACCATAAGAAAACAAGTTTTAAGAATTTTAAAAACTCGAAGAAATGAAAATCCTGTTGATACCGTTGATTTTCGAAAATTTTCTATGTCAGAGTTTAATTTTGATGCTACCGCTTATTATGACCTAGTTGACTGGCAGAATTTAAGCTGAAGTGAACCTCCCATTACCAAGCGTTTATCTGAAGAACATTTATGGCAAATAGTAGAAGAACCTCAGTCGTCTGCCATTTTGCATACACAAACCGTTGAAAGGGCTATTAGGCTTGTAACACAAGCTTCCAGCACTGTGTGTGATTAAAATCGTAGGGATGGTGTTATTAAAAGTACACTTGATTCGAGAAATCTTATGCCAAAGTTCGAAACGAAAAAAGATTTTAGGAACTAATGTTTTTTATGTTTGTGAAGTCACTAATGTATATTTTATTTTGTATACCTTTTGTGTTTTTATTTTTTATAGATATACGTTAAATTCAATTCTAATATTCATATATTGTTTTCATTTATTTTAATCTTTACGCGAGTCACACAAGCATCGGCATAAATAATAATTTCTGTTAACAAATATATTTAATATTTTGGAGGAAACTGGGGAGGAGAAAGGGAACAACATAAAATTCTACAAAAATTACAACAAAATGCATTTTTCATGCACTTATTTTTCCGCCCACATGCGTCAAATTGGGAGAAAAAAAATATAAAATGTTTAGGGGGTGGGGGGAGGTGGAAAGAGTGGCGTAAAAAATTGGAAAAAATATAATTGTTCTCTTTTACTAAAACACAACTTTCCTTAATATAGGCATTTTAAATTTCCAAAATTGAAAATGTCGCTCCACCCTACTCTGCATATCTGTTAGTCCAATATAAGGCATTTTGTTGTTTTTTTTTTTTTGACCAAAATAAAATTACAGGAGGATCGTGATTTTACTTCTAAACACAAAATTCACACGATAATAAATCTTAGCAGTCGTTTCTTTTTTATTATCATGTTTGTTAAGAACAAAAGGCCCTATCTTAAAATGAGTTACCGTCAAACGGGGTGAATCAGGTCTAAGGGGTCAATCGGGACAGTATGATGTTTATTTACAAACACGTGATTTTTATGCTTGTAGCCAATGTTTTTAGGACGGGTAATATGAAAAGCCTATTGCAGAAACCACAATCGTTTGACCTTCGTATGTCGCCATAGATAAACTAATAAAGAAGATGGTCGGATTCTGTTAATCTTTGGAAACGTAGTGCTGCGAATTAGTATGGAACGGATCTTTTTTGAACTACACTGGCTGATTGATTTGTCAGTAAGAGGCATAAAAAAAAGAAGAGCGTTAACGTAACCGCGGTTCATTCAAATATCCTTTATTTATTTATATTTTTTGGGGTTCATTACTTTAAAAAGAAAAACTAATATTTATATTAAAATATTGTATTTAACATATATATTAGTTTTTTTAGTTATAAAACCCCAAAAAATGTATACAAAAATGTAGACAAAAAATATTTACACTGAAATAAAATATAAGACAAATATATTTAAATTATTTATTATACAGTAATACATACATAATGTGATAATAAAGAACAATTGTAAGTGAAATGAATACTAGTTTCCCCACATTCTTGTAAAAATGGACCATACTTTGATGGGCGTCAGGTGTTTCCTATAAAAACAAAACAAAAAGTGTACGTATATGTTATTGAACAATTTCTCAATTTCTCAAAATGTTAACCATTTTTATAAAACTAAGTTATTTTTAATTATTTGACGAAGATTGAGAACGACGCAGTACGTGGAGTGTTCAATAATCTGAGTGCGATAAGGACAATCCACTCTAGTTGTACAGTATATTTTTTCTACGACCCTCTAACGAAAATTTACAATTTTTTAAAATTATTTTGGGTAACTAAGATAAAATTTCCAATTTAAAAATAATTTATGACTTACTAATTTATTTTCATAATTAATTTCAATAACTAAAAAATATACTGACAATTAGTTTGACAAAATTGTGACATTTAAAATTTAAAAAATTAATAATAGCCCAGTGAACAAATAATGAACTGTGACTGGTGGATTTCATATCCATGCAGTGTTCTTACTAGGTAGAATGGATATATGACTTGAACCCAATGGCTTACTTTTTCATTTTGTAGTCTGTGAGTAGAATAGCTATATCCATGTGGGTGTGGAAAAAAACTATTTCTGTTTATTCCTCATAATGCAATAGTCCATTTGAATTGTTTTAACTTTAAATTAACAAATCTAATTGGTTTAATAAATCTGATTAAAAATTGTTATTCAAAATATTAAGTATAATTTTATTTTCTGCACATAAATGTGTTGCATTATATGTATAATAAATTCAGGATTGATATTAATAGGACCTTTCATTTTTAACAGATGAAAAAAGGATATCCCTTAAATTCTGTTATCAATTAATCATTAAGGCATTTTTCTAACAATTTCTTTAAATCTGGAAAACACTGAATCATTTATCCCCGTTTCAAAAGGTAAATCACTTAAAATTTGTTGGACAGTAGATTTACTAGGCAACGAAATGCATTTTCTTAAAAAATTATATGCTCTTGGACCATTTTTATATAATGCTAAAGAAAAAATTTTATTCTGAGTGGTCCAAGAGGGTTTCTTTCTCTTACAATTTTCTAAACTACTTTTAAAGAATTTAATTCCAATCGGATCTAATTTATTATTAAAATCTGAAAATAACTGAGTTTTGGATAATTCAAAGGCTTTCTTGATTTTATTTTTGGAAACACGTAGAGCTTTCTTTAGCTTACAAATTCTAACGTTTTGTTCTCTATTAATAAAATACAGCTTTTTCTCTTTGGGACTTAAATTTTTGACTTTACTTTCATTTATTTGTTGCAAAACAGTTTTTCTCCGTTTGGAGGGTTGTTCAAATTGTACATCACTAATATTTAGTTTACGTTTGCAACTAATTTCTTGATTTTCATTGCTGATTAGCAAATCTATCTTATGCTGCTGTGTTTGTGCTTCAGCCTCAATATATTCTGAAATCTGACTCACAGGTAGTATATTTGAACTGGATGCATAATTATCTAAAGAAATTGGTACAGAATGTACAACTAGTCGTTTACGTTTTGAGGAAACCTTACTAAAAGACTCTGGCAAAAAATGATCTTCACAAAGATAGCGAGTATTATTATCTAAAGTTAAATTTAAATTCTTAAACCAGTTCTGGCCAACTTTAACATCAGAAGGAAAATGAAAAAATGCTTGATTTGAATAACCAACTTGCTGAATATTAGAATAATACTTATTTAAACAATTAGGAGCTGAACAAGAATACTTAACTATACCCGGGCCAGATATTTTTGCTTCAAATATTAGAAAAGGAATTGTTGAAATATAATACGAAATTAGATACCTATAGATATATAGGTTAACGATAGTTAAGGCTAAGAAAACAATGATAAACAAAGTCCTTAAATACTTAATATTAAATTAAAGTTAATACTTACTAATTACATCAAATCAGCACCGTTTGTTTCTTAACCTAAAAATAACTTACCTACCTATGTAACTTACATCATAAAATAAAAATAAGTTTTATTTTATCATCATATCCCGCCTTCCGCCATCACGTTTTTCATTTTTTACAAGGTTGTCAATCCCGTATTTTAAAAATCTCAGCAATTGTATGGACATTGTATGGATGGTATGGTGCGCATGTAGATTGATAAAAAATTAAAATAAAATGAATTTGAAATAACTATCATCTCATGAAAGTTTACGGAAACCGGCAACATCGCTTTCATACTATTGCGATGGTGGCGCTAACTAATCGTATACTGGGAACTACGCCGTGTTGACAGTGGCGGGCATTTAATAAATTCATCTTGTTTTATATTAATTTATCTATGTATGTCGCCGTCAGTAAATTCGCAACGCTTCATTGGTACAGGTGTCAAAATATTGCAGTATAATTTTACGTTTTTAAAACCGGCTGAAAACTTCGTTTGAAAAAGGTATTTATTGTAGGATTTGAGTATTGCATTGTTAATATAGTATACCTGTGAGTATTTTCTAGATGCTAAGTAGTCTTTGAATAAATTATTTTGTAAAGTTTTTTTATTATTAATTAATGAAAAAAACAAATCACTTCTAGGGGTGAATCGGGACGATGGTCCGAAAATACAAAAGAACGTCTGGGACTAGGTTTTACCAAAATTATAGTAAAGAGCAGCTTGAAACGGCTTTGAGGCAATTTAGAAGAGGCCAACTAACCCTTCGAGAAGCAGAAGAGTTATATAATATACCAAGATCGACGCTACAACGACATGCTAAACAGAAGTCAAAGAAACATGGTGGGCAAACTATTTTGTCAGAAAGTGAGGAAAGTAGGCTAGTGCATTTGATAGTATTGGCATGACAGTGGGGATACCTGTTGGAAAAAATTGATATTCGATATATCGTTAAGGTATATCTTGATAGAAAAGGAATAAGAGTGGCAAAATTTAATAATAATATGCCCGGTGTTGATTGGGCGAATTTGTTTTGTTTGCGTCATAACGAATCACTCACTGAAAGACTGTGTGAAAATATTAAACGAGCTGGATCAGCAGTGTCTCGGGAAATAATAAATAAATATTTTGACCACCTCCAAGAAAACTTACAAAACGTTGAAACTGAATCCATCATCAACTATGATGAAACTTGCTTTGTACATGATCCCGGATGGAAAAAAGTCATCGTAAAAATAAAAACAAGACATCCAGAACGCATAATTGATTCAACAAAAACATCGACATCAGTAATGTTTGCCGTAAGTGGTGATGGCTAGCTATTACCC